ATATATTTAAAATAAGGTCTTTTTATTTCATTTATTTCATCTTTCTCTTTTCTGTGAATGGTCTCTTTGGCTTTTCTTCTCTGTTTATTGTGACGATTATGCTTTTGGAATTCTAATACAATACATTCCCCACTTAAGATCTGTTGGGCTACTTGTAGAACCCAGCGATCACAAAACATTGCATTCTGTATTTAAGATGTCTGCATTGCAAACAAATGGCTGATATTTGAAAATGCTCAAATATCAATAAGTGTATTTTATATTTTGTGTTTAATGTTCTGTATTCTTTCTTGATTCTTTCAGTTGCAATAGTTCTTTTCAGAGTTTAAATAATTTCTATTGATTAAAGCAACAATTTTCCAACTCTTTATATCTAGGATAATTTATCTGGCAGAAGGAAATTTCCCTTAATTATAACAATGTAATTTATTTGGTGGTTTAGAGCTCAAAATTTAAAAAGAAACTGAAGGTTAAATAGTGAATATTGCCCCCTATTACTCATAAAGCAATTTTATCCTGAAAGATGATGTAAAATACACTTGGAGAGTTTTTTTTTTCTTGGAACTTTTTAATGACTTTAACATTAGGAATTAACTCTTTTAAATATCATAATAGAGCTTTGCCAGTCAGGGTAAATTAAACACCCAAACAGGCTAGTGAAATCCTTATGGATGGCAGACTTTTCAAGGATGTAATTCATTTGTCTCCTGTATTCCTGGTATGAAAAGAAAAGAAGTAATGATTTTCTTACTGGTTATAGCATAATATACTTAGTTATCATCCTGTTGGTTTATATTGCTTAAATAAAATATTACAAATATCTCATACATGTTTCTATTCAAATTAGAAATAAACATGAACCAAGTGAGTGGAATAATAAGAAAACTCTGAGAAAAATTAAATTATTATGAATCTTTTCTCTTTCAAAATTTTTAGCTTTGATTATTTCCAGAAATTCTACCTTCTGGCATTTTTCTCCAAAACAGAGAAGTCTGTCGGCTACCTAAGCATATACATTTGTTTAAGTGAATGTCAGCCATGTCAGAATGAGCTGGACTGTGTGATAAAATTTACAGAAAGAAGTATATGTTGAGATTTTCAAAAATTAGTTTACTTAAGGTCATTTTCTCACGTAAATTATATTAAAATACAGTGAGGCTTAATTCTCTTAAAAAGTTACAGTGAAGAATGCAATGGCACAACCCCCCCCCCCCCCGTACAGTCCCCTCTCCTGTCTTACATGCCTGCCCATCACTCTTGCCACCTCCTGCAGCAGCGCTGGAGAGGTTTTCTGTGAGCGTCTTCAGCTGCTGCTCTACTTCATCTCTGTCCTCAACCTGTTTAAATTGTGAGCTTTCCATAGTTGTTCTACATTTCAGAATAAACCTCCTCCATCTGATATTCATTTTAGGATTTAAAATTTTTGTTGTCTTTAGGCTGTGTACTCCAAATCTTTCATGTGTCTTCTCCCAGTTTGGTCAGAAGGGCACATCCAGAAAAGGACAAGAAAAGCTGTTATCTGCTGGGATCTCTGGGAGTTGAAAGTTCTTACCACACAGAAATCATCTAGCTCCATGTATGGTCAAGAACTAAATGAGGCTAAAAAAGACTTACTTGTTCTTTCTAATATGCAGTTGTACAGTATATCTTACTTTTTATTTTTATTTTTATTTTTTTGCAGTACCAGGGATTGAACTCAGAACCCTGCGCTTGCCAGGAAGGTGCTTATTCTACTGAGCCATCTCCCCAGCCCTATTTTTTTGTATTTATTATATATATAATTAGGCACAAAACCCCTGATCCAATGTAATTAATTAACATGCATTTTAAGTCTTCTGACTTAAGTGTTTTAGTAATAAAATGCAAACTAATAATGAATAGATGACATGCCAAAATAATTGCATTAAAGTGTGTCTTTCTTATTGTAGACTTTTAACAGTGTAGTGATCCCATTTTATCTACTCCTTTTTAAAGAATGATGAAGCAAATTATTTCTTTACTTACCAACAACATTGTGTTTGAGCTCAACGGCAGCTGCGCATTTTCAAAGCCAAGCACTGAGCTTTGCTTTTTTGAACACATGCCTAGTATAGCTAGTGAAATTTTTCATATTTATATATGTACAAATAAATAAACAGTTTGCAAAATGGCAACATAAATGAGCTTGCAAGAGAGAGGTCTAATTTTACATTTTTCATAATAATTTTCATTTATCAAGTACGTGTTTTAATATTGGCATAATATTAAGAAATTTATTGAATTTTTTACTTGTGTTAAACCTTGTAAAAATTTCAGGGACAAATGACATTATCTCTATTTTGCATTAAGGGCAGAATTTCCAGGTTACATAATATTTATGCCACAGAAATGTGATTCATTTCAGGTTTGTGGCTTTCCAACCTCATCCTATAATTCACTTTTATGGATGCTTTCTTTAAAAAATCAATGTTTTTGCCAGAAATTATGCTTATATAAAAATACATCATATTCTAAAGGATTACAACACCAGGAGTAATATCACACCACATGTTTTTCAGTCATACACCTAAGATACCCATTGTTTCTTGCGCCATAGGAATGCAAGGAAATTACCTGGTCAGCATTTATTTTGCTCAGAGAAGAGTTCTTATCCAACTAGCCTTACTATATCTGAAAATTTTATATTTCAAAGCTAGTTATAAAATATCTTCTTAAATCACATAAATTTGAAATCTTATTCCAGCATGAAATAGGACTACACATTTGTCCAGATAAGTGACAGGGTATATGTGGCACCCAGCACTTAAGTGCCTGTGAAGAGACATTGATAATCAGTCTGGACCATTTTTCACAGGATGCTTTCCCGTAGCCCAGGAATCCTAAACACAAGGCAGTAAGCACAATGGGTCTTGGGATGTTAAGTTTCCTGCCTTTATTCATCATAACTGACTTCTGCCATGCTCTGATTTGCTAAAGTGCTTTCCTTTATGGAACTTCGATTAAAATGAGGAACACTGGTGTGGAAGAGATCAGATGACACTTCAGGTTACAATACATTTCTTTGTTTTCAATATGAGGCTCAAGAATAGAGAATCCTTTCTGGTTGTGCCTAGAGTCCTGGGGTCAGAAGCAAGCCCAACAGAGACACAGGGGCAAGTTTACCAGCAGAGCACAGAATGACCTCAGCATCCTGAGCCAA